ACAGAAGACTTCTGAATGGAGTCCCTAAGGGGGAACATCCAAGCCCAGGGGCCCAGCCTTAGATGCCTGCTCCCCTCTCATTCCACTCCTGTAAAGTCTTGGTCCATTCATGGCTTCACCTGGCTACTAAAGCCCCGCTCTCCTGCCCCCTGCCCTCCCTCCCTGCTCAGGAAGGGAGGCCCTGAGGAGAGGCTGAGGCTGCGTTGGTGCTTGGCCTCTTAGGGATCAGCATCATCTTTGTCCTTCGGCAGGTGTTCTCTGCTCCTCGGCCATGGGGAGAGGCTCTGAGGACAGACAGTTATGGCCAGATGTCTCCCAAAGGCACTTCTTACCTAGCTCTTACTGACAGCAAGGAAGGACAGACACCATCCAGGTTCTGCAGGCAGGCAATGCAGCTCTTGTGTACATTTTGCTTTTTCCCCCGCACCTCCCTGGGAAGGGACAAGAGATGCCCCTTCTCTGTGCTGAACTCTCAGGAAGTGTGCTTCCTGTCTTTGTCTCAGCTCCGGAGATAATGACTGTCTGTCTCCCTCCCAAAGAGTTAGATATGGGGGAGCAGGCCGAGCCTCAAGGTGAATCAGTACAGGGAGCCCAGCATGTAGAACTCAGCTCAGCTGTCAGAAGCCCTTGTGCGAGCAGCACACACATCAGGTGGAATTGGGGACCGGGAAGGGGCCAACTAGAGGTGACTTCTTGTCAGTGAGCTCCTTTTCTCCTAAATCAAGGTCAGCTTGCAGCAGCCACAGACTTGCAGAGCAGAACAGCCCAAAAGATTCTCTGACACCTGGCCATGCCCCCACCAGGTGGTCTTTGACTCTGGGCCTGGGCACTATCCCTGAGCTCTTCAGCTCAAGGCTAGTGCTCTACCACTTCAGCCACAGCGCTACTGCTCACAGACTTTCCTGCCCAGGCTGGCTTTGAACCGCGATCCTCAGATCTCAGCCTCCTGAGTAGCTAGGATTACAGGTGTGAGCCACTGGCGCCCAGCTACCAGGTGGTCTTTACCCTTGGACTTAGGTACCTGTCATCAGCCACCTGCTGATGCCCTGTGTGACTGCCAGCTGATCCATCTGTCCATCCTTCCTTCCTTCTCTTTCCTTCTTTCCTTCCTCTATTTTTGTGCCAGTACTGGGGCTTAAACTCAGGGCCTGGATGCTATCCTTCAGCTTTTTTCACTCCGAGCTGAAGCTCTGTCACTTGAGCCATAGTTCTACTTGGCTTTTTGGTGGTTAATTGGAGATAAGAGTCTCACAGATTTTCCTGCCCAACCTGGCTTCAAACTGTGAGCCTCAGATCTCAGTCTCCTGAGTAGCTACGCTTACAGGTGTGAGCCACAGGTGTCCAGCGCCAGGTGTCCAGCGCCAGTCCTCCCCTCACCCCCCGTGGCCTGAAGAGTGCCAGCAGCACTTAGCAGATACTATGTGCCTCTTTGTTGACTAAACAAGTGGGTGGTTCCGGTCAGAAGCAGCAAACGAAGTCCCCTGCCGCTGCCCATCACTCTGCAGCTGAGCCTGCCTAGGCCTGCCAGCCCTCAGGCGACAGTGTCAGGCCCTCACCACCCTCTGCCCTCTCCCTGGCTCCTTGACGTTTCTCCTCGTCCCTTGAAGTGTCACCGCCAGTGTGGAATGCACACGGGCGCACACATGACATCCCTGAGGCTAAGCCCAAGAGACCTCAGGAGAGAGCCGCACCCCCCCCCCGGCTCCCCACACATCGGATGGGGAAGTCCTGGACATCAGGATCCCTGGCTGCTGTCTCGCCCCCCTGTCCATCCACACCTCCCACGCAGCCTTGAGATGAGCCAGAGCCCCGTGGCCGGCGCCGGCACTCAAGCTGTGTCCCCAACACACCGCCTGGCCGTGACCGTCGCTCACGGCTTGTCATCCTCCCTTCATCTTGATTTATGAGCAAACCTAATGAGTTTTTGGAGCAGCTGTCTCCCAGGGATGGGGCGATCAATCTAGGAGATAACTGAACGCTGTCCTCCAGCAGCGCAGGGAGGGAGGCACCAGGGCAGGGCAGTGGCCCCCACAGGCCTGAGCCCCCAACGCTCCCATGCCTTCCCCTTCTGTCTAGCTTGTGGAACCCAGGGCTTGGGGTGTACAGGCTCCTTTTAAATGCCGAATGCCCGTCTATAGGCCAGGCCAGAATGACTTCCTTCTCAGCCCCCTCCCATATTAGCTCCGCCCAAAATAACCTGGTGGTGAGGAGCAGAAGGGTCTGCCTGTGGGGTGGGGCGGGGGGTCACCCAGGGCTTGCCTTCAGGCTCAGGTGCTTCTGGGGGCTCCAGGCTGTCCTTGGGGCCCATGCTTCCTTCCCTGGTGCGAGGGTGCGTGTCCGCCAGGGCGCAAGGCAAGCCTGGCACACACAGGGGCACGGGGCGCCGCCACAGCGGGTCACAGGCACTCCGCTTTAGTCTTCCCGGAGCCAGGGCACGTCCTGTGCCCCACAGCCAGCCCCGTGAGCTCCTGACAGCCACGCAGCTGTGACCACCGCGGGGAGGGGAGATGGAGCCAGGCTCAAGGAGACGCCCCCCCCCCACCTTCCCCACCCTACCCCACCCCACCCCCGCCAGGTGCGGCTCACAAAGCCTCTCCTCCACCTAGCTGATTTAGGCTGACGGGAGGGGTCCTTCATGATAGACAATTGAAGTGACCAGTGATGGTTATATAAGAGTTTTTACTTGCAGTGCTGGGGCTTGAACTTAGGACCTCCTATTCTTGCTTAGCTTTTCTGTTCAAGGTTGGTGCTCTACTTTAACTGTACATGTCCATTTCCATAAGGCATTCTGTTATCATTGTCCTTTAGCTCTTTCACTTCAAGTTGGCCCCCTACCTCTTGAGCAATAGTTCTGCTTCTAGCCTTTTGGTGGTTAATTGGAGATAAGAGTCTCACAGATGTTCCTGCCCAGGCTGGCTTTGAACTGTGATCCTCAGATCTCAGCCTCCTGAGTAGCTAGGATGACAGGCGAGAGCCACCAGCACCTGGCTAGAAAATAGATTTTGATGACAAAGTTTAAGAGAACCTGTCTCGACCAGGTGGAAGTGTTATCAGGTTAAACATAGCTATAGCTAAGAGAATTCTGACATGTGTCTGTCTACAGTAACCATGGCTTCGTAGGCCATCCTGAAAGTTCTAGAAAATACCCCTACATACTCAGTGAAGTAAAGATGCAGGTCCTCACTCTTGGTAGGTGTGTGGGAGCAGAGGGACAGTTGTGTGCTTCACAAAACAAGTCTTGTGGCTTTGAGAACTTACTCCTCCCTGGTTTGTTGGCATGGAGCCCTCACCAGGGCTGCCTGATGGCTGCTCTCGGTAAGCAATCCGTTCCACTGCCTTTCCTGTGGCCTCTTAGCGATGTAGGGGTGCCAGGAGAGTGGAAGAGGAGCCAGCATCCCAGGTAATGAGCTGCACACATCCTGGTCACACGGCTCTGCTTTCAGGACCCAGGGGCCCAAGGCTGAGGTCAGGTGACACACACTGAAGGATTTCTCCCCTGGCTTCTTTCTAAATTGGTGCCAGAGCCTAGAGCAGGGCAGGTCAGAGATAGCACCCCGAGCAGTTGTGGCAGAGGAAGATTTGAAACTTGACTGGTAGCCACTGACCCCTTCCCCCCCATCACCCTGACCCAGTGCCCTACCTACAGCGGCACGGCTGCCTGCCGCCGCCTCCGGTGCCCCCAGCTCCTGCTCTGTGGCCGTGAAGCCCTCCTGGTGCCCGGCCCGCCACCTCCAGCCAGCCAGTGTCCCCACACCCCGTCCAGTGCCCCTCCTGCGGGACTGGCCCTTCTCACACTCTGGTCTGTTTCCCATACCCACTCCTCTACCCATCCCACAAATCTCCCATACAAGCGGGAGAGGAACTAGGTCGCCCTGTCTCCTTACTTCCCAGCCAGGAAGATTTGTGCTGCCCGGGAGTGGCAGGACGGGCGCCCGTGAAAGGCAGACACAGATCATCTTCTTTATTGGCAATTTTCACAGAGCTGTTCCCGCGCCTCCCCCGCCCCGCCTGTCCCTGACAGCGATTAAAAGTAATAGATGATCCCGCCCCACTCCAAATGTCACCGTGGGAGGACACTCCCCATGGAATGTCCAGCAGCATGACCTCTCCCAGGATCCGGGGATTGTTGTCATCTCCTGAAGAGAATAGTGGGGGGGGTCCCCTAACGCCATCCCTGGAGGAGATCTCTAAGCCTCCGCTGGGGTTGGATGGGAGGGGTTGAACTGCGTGCCGTTCCCTGCTCACCCACTCCCCTCTACCCTGCTCCAAGAAGCATCCCGTATCCCTGTGGTTTCCCCTGAGGCCTCAGGGCCCAGGCTAGAGGCACCATCAGATCTGCTCTAAGCAGACTCAGTGAGGGTTGGAAATCCAGAATGGAGACAGGCTCTCCTGGAACCGTGTTTGTGTGTTGAACACCTAAGGTGGCAGCTCTGGGTAATCTGGAGAGCAGATACAGCAGCTAGAAAAGATCTGGAAAATGCACTTCTCTGCCTGTCAGGAATGTTTGTCCATTGATGGTTCCGTTCTTCCTGAACCCCGGTTGTGTGGGTACAGTGCCCAGCCATGCCTGCCTGTGTTCCTCCCCCCAAAAGACCATTGCACAAGCAGGTAGATGAAGCCAGCCTGGTCTCGCATCAGCAGCGGAGTCTGATGGGTCTGAACAGTGAGGCTCACAGGTCCCTTTCTGCTTCGGTAGGAAATCCCCTGTCCTTTCCAGGCCACCAGGCTCCAAAGAACAGCCATGTGCTATTTGGTGTCATTTCTTCCCCCAGAGGGACCAGGTGCCACTTCCTGCTCTGAACAGGACAGGGAGAAGGTTCTGTTGCACAGCCATGGTGGGCCTGCCCCCATGGGGCTTTGGGGCTGCATGAACCTGCAGGTGACAGTTGCCTCACTGAGCCCCAGTTCTTCCACATCCCCCTTTCCCACCCCCACCCCCCTCCCCCAGACCAAGAGGAAGTTTCCACGCCCACTGGCTGACTCCCCGTCCTGTGTTGCAGCCTTTGCCATCATGATCGTTCTGGCCCTGGTCCGCATCGGGAAGGGGCAAGGAGAGGGGCACCCGCCCCTGGCCGACCTCTCCGGGGTGCGGAACCTCTTCGGGGTGTGCGTCTACTCCTTCATGTGCCAGCACTCCCTGCCATCCCTCGTCACGCCCGTCTCCTCCAAACGCCACCTCACGCGCCTCGTGTTCCTGGACTACGTGCTGATCCTGGCCTTCTACGGGCTCCTCTCCTTCACGGCCATCTTCTGCTTCCGTGGCGACAGCTTCCAGGACATGTACACCCTCAACTTCGCCCGCTGCGACGTGGTGAGGCTGGCCGCCGTCCGCTTCTTCCTGGGCCTCTTTCCCGTCTTCACCATCAGCACCAACTTCCCCATCATCGCCGTGACCCTGCGCAACAACTGGAAGACGCTCTTCCACCGGGAGGGCGGCGCCTACCCGTGGGTGGTGGACCGCGTGGTGTTCCCCACCATCACCCTGGCGCCCCCCGTGCTGGTGGCCTTCTGCACCCACGACCTGGAGTCCCTGGTGGGCATCACCGGAGCCTACGCGGGCACCGGCATCCAGTACGTGATCCCCGCCTTCCTGGTGTACCACTGCCGCAAGGACACCCAGCTGGCCTTCGGCTACGGGACGGTCAACAGGCACTGGTCCCCGTTCCGCCACACCTTCTGGGTGGGCTTCGTGCTGCTCTGGGCCTTCTCCTGCTTCTTCTTTGTCACGGCCAACATTGTCCTCAGTGAGACGAAGCTCTGAGGGCAGCGGGGCTGGGACCTCAGCCCTGGCCTCCCCACCACCGAGCAAGATGCTCATTCCACGATGGCCCCCTGCCCACCCAGGACGCTCCCGGTCTGTGTCCTCGGTCTCGCCCAGCGGGGCAGCACGTGGCTGCTCCTAGGTTGCAGGATGCACCCCCCCCCGCCCCACTCCACCCCACCATTCGAGGCAGGCTCCTCTGTGGTGGAGACGCAGTGCTGGCACTGCTGCTATTTATGCCAGCCTCGGTGTTCCCTCCCTGCTCCCTCTTGCGTCCTTGTCTGTCCTCGAGTAGCCGCTGCCTCTCAAAGCCCAGGCCCTGGCCATCCTAACGTGGCCTGCCGGGAAGCGCCAGGGCCCAGCTGCTGCCAGGCCCGACAGTGGCTAAATGCTGCTCCTGGGGGAGGGCCTGGCGCACCCCGGGCACAAGAACAGGAAGTGCTAATTGGCCTCAGAATTTCTAGACTAGAGCTGTGAGGGCCCTTGCTGTGGGTGCCAACCCGGGGACAGCAGCCATGGACTGTGCCTTCCGCGGGGCACCCCGCAGCCCGTAAGCTGGCTTAACGCCCTTGGCTTGTGACCCCCCCGAGTGGAACTCCCTGCTCCCTGGCCACCCCACAATGGGGAGTCCTTGGGGCCTCCCACAGTAAGGAGCTGCCCCCCCCGTGGCATAGTGCCCTGGGCACCTGTAGAAGATCAGCCCAGATTGCCTCAACGCTGCACCCCAACACTAAAGGGGCACCCCCACGGACTTGACTGTGGGTGCTCACTGTCCACACTGCCTCGGGCTGCTGTGAGATAGGAGAAGGCCAGTCCCCCCTTCCCTCCCCCCCCGCCCCTCCCCCACCGTCCCCCTCCCAATCATGCATGCACCTGCCTCCCCAGCACAGGTGACAACAAACTCCACATTTGCCATGTGCCTTCTGTTTCGGCCCTGGGGGTGGGGAGCCGCCTCTGGGGAGTTTGGGGGCCCTCCGGTGCCCGTTCCTCCTCTCGATTTCAGTGCCTTGTTCCCCACTCCTGAGGAAAGCCACCTTCCCCCTCCCACTTCTCGTCTCACCTCACATTTAAAGCCGGGGCAGTGCCACAAGGCTGGGTGCCCTCCCCCCCCCACCTTGGGAATCAGGGGAGCTGCAAAGACCAGAATCCGCAGGCAGCGCCCCCACCTCCCACCTCTGCCTTCAACATCCACACCTCGAAGAGACCCCGGGGCGCGATCGGCCGCAGCCTGCCTCACCGTGTCACCTTTGCAGTCCCCACCACTGTCCCCCCATAAGGTCATTTCCCACCCATGTGAAAAACACACGCACCCGCCATTACCCCATCTTCCAAGCTAGGTGGGCGCCGCCGCGGCAAGCAAGAGTAATGAAGCCATGCTCGCCCTCCCCCTGTGCCCAGGCCCTCCCTGAAGCTGCTCCGCCGTGTGCTGAGAACTCAATTAAAACATCTGTACTTACCCTTCTCCAATTATGCTCTATCTTGCTTAAGGACAAAGCAAATTAAATCATCCCGCCACCCCTCGCTCCTAACCAAATTTTGTAATCAAGATGATTAGCATCATAAAGCCCGGCTTGATGTATGTGACAATCTGGAGCCACCTACAGCGGCCGGCCCAGCCACGGCCGTGCGCGCTCGTGCACGTGCACACACATTTCCTTCCACCTGCCAGCAGAGCTCGGAGCAGCACGGGCCACTGTCTGGTTCCTGTGCTCCTTGGTCTCCATCTGTCTTGCCAGAGGTCAGATGAGATCAGACACCTTCCTCCCCAGGTCAGGTGGTTTAGGGGACACAGGGAAGAAGACCCCCACAATATGACCTACTTGCTTTCTGTGTGTGATCAAAGCAGCTGCACGTGGGTACATGAACTCGGTGATGTGGCTGGGGAGGTCTTGGGTCCCTTTGCAGGGAGTCCCTGGGGGTCAGTGTGGAGAGGACAAGAAGTGTCACCATGGAGGAGATCTTAAACTTCATCAGCTGCCACTGTCCACAACAGGGACCAGCCTCGGGGCAGGCCAGGTCAAGGTGGGAGTAAAGGATCTGTGCCTGCCTCGGTGGGAAGCACCAGACCCTACCTGAGCATCAGAACCCGGTGCCAGCGGCTCCGGCTGCACCTCACGTGACACCAGGAGATGGGGCAGATGGCGGCTGATGGGCTGGGAGGCGCAGGCACCAGGCCAGGTCAGGCCGCACAACTGTGCTCACTACAGGAGGCCAGCAGCGGCCTCAGCAACAGGCGGAGGCTAATGTCAAGAGCACGGGATGCAGGCTTCTGCTGCCTCATGGGAAAACAGTGGGGGGGGGGGAGTGTCAAGTGGCTGGCAGTGCCCAAGTCCTGGGGACAAGAGAGGCCTAGATTTCAACCTGTCCCAGGGGTCAGAGGCCCAAGCAAGACAGACAAGCCAAGAGCCACTGAAAAGAGCTCCAAGATCCTGGGCCACAAGTGGGCGCTGCCACTGCTTCTCGGCCCCTGGGGCCTTGGGCTGCTGTGTAGCAGGTACGGTGTTGGGTGCTTTGTGTGAGCATCTGGCGATTAGACCTGAGAGGCCAAAGCCTCTGCGGTCTCTTTCTCTGCAAAGCACCTAGTGCTGGACAATCAGACCATAAAAGACTGAGCTCAGTGCCTGGCACAAGTGTGCAATAAAGCTGCTGTTTACCAAAATGTAAGTCTCCCTCGTCGCTCGTTGCCCTCCCTGGGCTTCTAGCCCAGGTCTCCTTTGAGACTCCAGGTTCACAGTTGGTTTCGTAGCTTAATGAGGAGAGAGTTCTCATGGCCAGTACCTGCTGTAATTTAAACCAGGAAACAAACCTGATTGGTTCAGGATCTACAAGATTTCGGTGGGGGTGTGGGGAGGTGGACTTAAAAAAACAAACAAACTTGAACTCTGTCTCTTCAAAGTCTCTCTCCTGGCTTTCTGGACAAAGCTGGTATGGACTTGAGCTTCCAGCTAGAGTCCAGGGAAAGCAGGGCAGCTGCAGAAAAGAAGTGGGTCAGACTAAGTCTCCTGCTACGGCAGGACTTCTGTTCCTGCCTCCCACCGAAAGGAAAAAGCAGCACTGGGGGAAATCTGAGTTGTCAGGCCTTCTCGGAGACATTTTTCACAGCTATGGCTTCTTGTCCTCTCCTCCCTTATCAGGCTTTCTGCTTCCCAAGGGGATTGGCACAGGCAGGGGCATTGTCCCTTTACGCAGGAAGCCAGGCCAGCCTTCTCTGAGATGCAGGAAGCATCCTCCTCTACTCCTTCCCCTCCATTCCTAGGGAAGGAACAAGCAGCTGGCTCCTGGCCCAGCAGCAGGTGCCGCTCCACATTCGGCTCTTAATTATCTTTCCAGTTCTTGGTTATTAATGATCTTGGGCAGCAAGCAGAGCAGCCTAGACCTCGTACCCCCTCCCAGCCTCACCTGCTGCAGCCTCCTCCTTGGAGCTGCACAGGGGACCCTGAGGAATGTGAGGGGCTCAGGTCCAAGGACCCTGCCACTCCCATGGCTACAACCAAAGTCAAATCTTTCCAAAACAGCAGCCTGAGCCCTCATCTAAACCCACACTCACCCACCTGTTGCTCAGTGTCAATGAAACCTGGCTCCCACCAGTGGAAATCCCCAGGGCAGGGCAGAACTTGAACCATATTAGGGGAGGAGGGGGCACCCATTCTTGGGATGGTCCGACTCTGGCTACAGCTGGAAGCAACCTATCCTGCCATTTGGCTACTCTTGCCCCTAAAATCAAACCCAAACAGCCCAATTTTCATGGTCCCCATCCAAATAGTAGGTCTTCACAGACTGACCAGCAAGAAGCAGGCTGGACATCCATAGCTCATGCCTGCAATCCTAGCTATTCGGGAGGCTGGGCTCTGAGGCTCGCCATTTGAAGCCAGCCTGAGCAGGAAAGTCTATGAGACTCTTATCTCCAATTAACTACTAAAAAGCCAGAAGTGGGGCTGTGGTTCAAGTGGTAGAGCACTAGTATTGAACACAGAAGCTCTGGGACAGCACTCAAGACCTGAGTTCAAGTCCCAGGATGGGCACAAAAAAAAAAACCCAAAAGCTATGGGAGAGGAACCTAGAGGGAGGGACCCCCTCACCCCTCATACACCTTCCTCTCTATCACAGGAAATGAGTTCCTGCTTCCTCCACTCGATTCTCTAGAGGATAGTCTGGCCTCTACCTTTGTGTGATGGGATTGGTAACGGTTACCACGTTTATGGCACAGAGATGAATGCTTCCTCCCTTCACGGGCATAGTCGTGCAGGGGAGAGTTTGATGTAATTGCACACCATTGGCCAATGGTGCGTCACAGGAAGGGGAGCTCAGCCAAGGACGGGGAGCCAAAACAAAGAGTGAGAAATCTAGGCACGGGTAAGACGGAGCCACTCTGAGCTGGGATGCCACCTACACTGGGTTCCCAAGATCCATGGGACAGATGCAGCCAGCCACGCCCCAGACGAGCTTAGCTGGCTCCCCACAACAGACTTCTGTTGCCTTCTCCACCCTGACCCCATCAGACTCCCCGGGATCCCTGGCAGGAGTCACAGCCCTGGCACCAACCAACCTCTCCTTTCCAGGAGACCGAGGGGCTAGACTCTGTCCATCACCACAGCCTCCACGCGGTACACAATTGTCACATCTGGCACCAACACAGGTGGAGCTGCCACCGAATACCAAAGGTTGCTGCTGTCTGGAGCCGCTCCCACACCCCTCTGAGACACCTGAAGCTAAGTCGTCCCCAGGGAGCTGCCCACCTGCTCCAGGCCCCTCCTGGACTAATCCCAGGATGCTCTGCTCACCTACAGGCTGGGATAGTCCCATGATGCTCCTGTCACCTACAGGCTGGGATATTCCCAGGATGCTCTGTCACCTACAGGCTCCAGCAGGCAGAATGAGGCGGCCAGAACCAGTGCGTTGTAAAAGGTTTGTTTAATGACCCAAGACTCCCGTAAGAACAAACTCCAAGGGTGGAAACGGCCCCATTTCAACTCCCAAGTTCCAGCTTCTGTGCCCCACCCCCTGGCCACAGCAGCCATGAGTAGAGACTGGCAGACTCCATCCAGGACCAGGACACCCTCTGGGATCCTTACCCTCTGCCCCCTGCAGTGCTGGGCTGGATGGACAGGACTTCGCAAGATAGAACATCCACAGTCGGCCGGTGGCAGGACTTGAGCCTGCTGAGGTCGCTGCGCTGGCCGTGGAAGACATCATGTGCCGCTGTTTCCCCCCCAGGCCAGGGTTTCTTGATAGCAGCCAGGGAAGCCCCAAACCTGCCGGTGCCCTCATTCCGGCAGGACCAAGCAGAAGATCCAGCCCAGCACCTCACACTTCCGACTCCAGGCTGGAGACCCGCCTCCAGGTGCATGGTGCTGAGAAGCTTTGAGTCACACAGGCCCCACGGCGGGCCTCGTGCAGCACCCTGCTGTCCCTGCAGCCCGTGCTCAGCCCCAGGGTCCTGCCCCTGGGTGCCCCGTGGCCCCAGGCCCCGGGGAGCCAGGGACGATGGCTGGCGCAGGGTGGGAGATGAGGGCAGACAGCACTCCAGCAGAACGGCAGGTGGGCTCCAGTGTGCAGGCAGACGTGCCGTCGGGGCTGCCCACCGTCCGGCCACGCCTCCCAGGGGGAGGGCAGCCGC